TTCCAGAGAGCGTTAGATGACCACTGGCGACCAAAGCGACGACGATTGACTTATAAACAGGTTCTGCAGGAAATCAAAAACGTTCGTTGTGACGTCATTGTGTTTGCTTCCGATCTCTGACTCTCTGCGTCATACGTCACGGGTTCTTCGTGGGTTTGTATTTTGTCGTTTATTTACTTTGTGGCAACTTTGTAAACAGAGAGAGAGAGAGAAAAGAAAGGAGAAAAGAGGAAAGAGAGTGTGTGTGAGAGAGAGAGAGAGAGAGACGAAAATGAAGACACAACAAAAGAGAAGGCACAGAGAGAGAGAGAGGGAGAAATTAAATAACCAAGTGTGAGTGGTCCGAGAAATACCCCAACAGACACATTACTGAGCAAAACCGGAATACAATTACTTCATATCAAGACCATTATATCGACGCGCACACTCTACTTATGCAATGTCAGGTATGCAGTCTATTATACAGTATGCACAAATAAACCGACTATGGGTGTGGGTACATGATAATGGTTCTGAGATAATGAAAGATGCTTTATAATATGCAATTGGTTATACAAACATACTATATACATACTATACACATACATATATCTCTATGTATCTATCTGTCTACATTATTTTGTATATCTGCCTATATCTGTATGTCTATCTATCTATATATGTATATGCACGTGTGTGTGATTATGTGTATGCATATATTCATATAATATGTCTGTAAATGTGTATCCACTCACACAATCAAATTCACTCAGACAAATGTATATTTAAAACTACTCTGCACTGAATTTCCCACAAGTCGGGAACCCTCACCGGACGGGCCCGGTTCGACTCACCTTGCTCCATTTCTGACCTATTTTCGTTCTCGTGACACGCCGACCTTCGCCATTTTCCTCGCTCGTGGCTGAGCGGTTCTCAGTCCTCGCCGAGATCGAAGGAAGTGACAGGCAGAAAACTTCTTTAACGCCAGTAGGTAAAAGACTAGTTTTTCCTAATCTATTTTCACGCCTCATGAGTCACGTTCATCGGTTTGTGTTCCTTCGTGAATGAATTGGATCTGGTGACTCGGTTTCCGTGACGTCATCCGGTTTGAAGACTGGATTTCCGAGAGGCGTGTCAGTCGTTCCACTTCGGGCAGGTGTGGCATCTGGCAAGGCGTTTATCCCTTCCAGAAACATCGTTTAAGACAGAAACATCAAGCACACTCCTATGGCCCGGAACACACATTTCAATCTTACAGTCAGCTGTTTTACACGATTAAGCCTGTTCGTCCTTTAAGATTATCACAAAATACTCTTTTATTGTGTATTTATAATGAATGAAATATCCCAGGAGTGTCGTACTCATGGTCCGCGGGCTGTTTGTGTCCCCTGGGATGACCTTGCGTGGCCCGCGGGTGACAAGAAGTATTAGCCTGTGAAATTATGATTGTCATGAAGGAAAATAACCATATACAATACTGTTGGTATTAATTTGAAATCTGAGAAGTAAAATAAACTTTAGTATGTAATAGTAGTTTTAGTAACGTAATCCTTGGAAGCCAAGTATGAACGTTTATTGGCTCTCAAGATGGTAGCTGAAGGGGAAAATTGGCCCTCGAAGGGTTTTGAGTTTGCCTTCCCCTGTTTAGGGAATTTAAGTTTTGTGGATAAAAGAAAAGTCTAATTTGATTGACAACACGCCAACTCGACTGACCGTTTTTAGATGCAACAACACGATGAAATAAATGAAGAGACATCAACTTGGGATCAGAATCTATAACAAGGGATCAACGTAACTCTCAGTTCGTGAAAGAAAACGCGAATCCATTTACAATCTATGTTTCTTGGCCTAAAAAGTCACAAATAATTCAGATCACATAAAAAAATAGCAATACAACAAATAACTAGAACAATGAAAAATACTTTTAAAATACCTCTTTGTGTTTTCGTACACTTTTTCATTTTCTATTCATCAATTTCCATTTCATACATACTCGTGCAGTGCATCTTGCTCTTCTTTATGATTGAGCTTTTACCTCCCTGTAATGTTTCACAATAACCAAGCTTAGTAACTCCTTCATTCCATCTTGTAAGGAGATCCTGGTCTGTAATAGATTAATAATGATAATTCTCTCCATATATCTAATGCCGTCTATCCCACTTAGCGGTAAAATATGTGAGCATCAAAAGAAAAAAAAATAAGTGACTATAATCTTTCCATTATTTTGTCTACTCAAAGGAAAATATCCATTGTTTACTAAAGGTCAATCAATAACCCACCAAGGCAACACACACGTATACATACTATATATATATATATATATATTATATATATATATATACATATATAAGTGTGGATACATGTGTTTGTATATATATATATATATATATATATATATATATATATATATTATATATATGTGTGTGTGTGTGTGTGTGTGTGTGTGTGTGTGTGTGTGTGTGTGTATGTAAATATACATATGTATATGTATACATTTACATGTATGGGCTCCTTCACACAGGTTTTAGAAAATATAAAAGGACCGTGTATATCTCAAAATACTTTATTTGAAAGAGAGCACATTAAAGTAAAATAAAATAAAAATCCTTAGCGGTTAAAAGGGTGAATAACAAAACATACATGAGAAATACATAGGATGATAACGCCCATATTTACATTCGTCCATAAATATCTGTACAAAAACCCAGCGGGCAAAAAGAGCGCACTGCCGCCCGCGTCAGGCGCGTCGGCCGTCGGGTCGGTCGAAGTGCGCAATGAGGCTGGACACGTCGGGTCGTCGGGCGTTGATGATGTCGACGATGTCGGGTCTGAGGGCCGCGCTCCCCACCAGGAAGCCGTCCAGGTCCTCCAGCTGAGCCAGCTCTCGACAGTTGCTCGACGAAACGGAACCTGCGTACAGGATTCTGGTGCTGTTGGCCACCTTGTCGCTGACGTTGGCGCGCAGCCAGTGTCGCAGCTTGGCCAAGGCCTCCTGTACCTGCGCAGCTGTGGCCAGGACGCCGGTATTGCTGGCCCACAGAGCCTCGAAGGCGATCACCACACGCGACCAGTCGCTGATGCTGGCGGCGAGGGACTTCATCTGGCCGAACAGGACGTCGTCCGTGCGACCCTCCTCGCGGTCCTCCGACGTCTCGCACAGACACGCGATTATCTGCAATTACATAAAAAGATTAATTAAATAATTCATGCATATTAGAAAAGAAATCTCCAATATCTAATTCAAGTCCTTTTATAACATTCAAATAAGAAACGAAAGAAAAAGCTGACCTTGATGCCAGTCTGCTGCGCGTGCGCGACCTTCTCGGCGATGAGTTGGTCTGACTCCTTGAAGATGGTCCTTCGCTCAGGGTGACCCAGGATGACCCACTCGCAGCCCGAGTCCAGGATCATGGCGGGAGAAATCTCGCCGCTGAAGTTACCGTGGGCAACCTGTTCACAAGTGACACTGAAGTTTAGTTTCGATTTTAGATGTAACCTACAATTCCTCACGGAATGTATTATATACCAAATATTGCCATCATGTTGACGGGTACTCCATCTTACCTTGTAACAGTTCTGAGCGGCGACAGCGATCTCGTCAGGGAGTCTCTGGCGGGCGTAGGACAGGTAGCAGGAAGGGCAGCCAACCACGGCCTCTGTTTGGGACAAGCAGATTTTTAGAAATTACGTTTACCAATTCTATATGTTGCATAACAAAGAGGGAATTACCAGCTGG